CTCTGTCGTGTGCCTCTTGTAACAGCAATTCTCGTAGAAGCGTGTAGCCTGGTACCCAAATTCGATCGGTGCCGGTTTTTATGTAATAGACTCCTCTTGCCGCTACAAACTGCTGCGAATTTCTGCCTGTAAAAAATGGGTCAGTCTGATAACCGTGGGTAAATAGGCCCGTCAGTAGTGGGCTGGTCTGGGCGAGTAGTATGGCGTGGAGTTGGGCTGTGGGCCGGGTTAATGCGTCGGCGATGTTCGATGCCCCCTTTTTGTAGGTGACCGTGTAGTGAAAATTTGACTCGAGGTAGTCGAGCCAGCGGATTTGTCGTGGGTTGAGGTGGGGTTGTGCGTGGAGGTACTGTAGTGATTTATGGTCTGTCCGTACTGTCACGTCGGCGCCGGTCAAGTAACAACGCCACACTTTGAATGCATGCACGATCGGAAGGATTTCGCGATCGTGTATCGGGTAATTCTTCTCGGGCGGATGCAACTTTCGTGATTCGTATGCGATGGGCTGTAACTCGTTGCCGCAATCCTGTAGCAGTACGGCTCCAATGGCGATGTCGCTTGCATCGGTAACCACTTCGAATGGACGGTGTGGGTCGGCGATGCGCAGTACGGGCGGTGAACAGAGAACATTTTTTAGGGTAGAGAAGGCAGCATGCTCTTTCTCCCCCCACGTAAAAGCGACCCCCTTCCGCAGTAAGTCTGTCAGTGGGGCAGTTAAGCGTGCCATGTTGGGTACGAACCGACGCACGTAATTAACGAACCCCAAAAAACTCTGCAGCTCCGTGATGTTCGTCGGGGGGTGCCACGCTTTTACCGTGTCCAGTTTCTTCGGGTCGATTTGTACTCCAGCCTCTCAAATAACGTGCCCCAAAAATTCTAGCCTATCCTGGAAGAACTCGCACTTGGAACCCTTGGTCAATAGTCTGTGTTTGTCTAAAACTGTAAATAATGCTTCTAAATCGGCTAAGTGCTGCTGCTTGTCGCGACTGTAGACGAGAATGTTGTCGAGGTAGATGATCACACATTTATCTAAAAGTGGTCCAAACGCCTCGTTCATGGTCATCTGAAAAGTCGCCGGTGCGTTGGTCAACCCGAAAGGCATCACTATGTACTCAAATGATCCGTACCTAGTTCTAAATGCTGTCTTGGCACAGTCCGATGGTTCGACCCGAATATGATGGTAACCTCCCCGTAAGTCAATTTTCGAAAAGACCCGTGCTGTTCGCAGTTGATCTATCAGTTCGTCGGCGCGGGGGATGGGGTATCGCGATTTAACTGTAACCCTGTTCAATGCTCGGTAGTCGATACACATGCGAAAACCTTCGTCCTTTTTCGGTGTGAACAAGATCGGTGCGGCGAATGGCGATGAGCTCGATCGGATGATTTTTTTCTCTAACAGGTAATCTAACTGCTTCCTTAGCTTGTCGAGCTCGGGCTGTGTCAGTCTGAACTGTCGCTGTACGGTTGGCTGAGCCCCGGGTTCTAATTCTATTCGGTGATCGTGTGCCCGCTGAGGTGGCAGTCCCTCCGGTAAGTCGTCGGGAAAAATCCCTGGGTATTGTTTCAACAGTTCCTGAAGTTCGGGTGGTACTGCCGCCAGTAGTTTCTGGAAATTGCTCGGCTGCTCTGCTTCTCCCACCATTGCGATATCTACCGCGTACACGTCAGCTCCAGCGGCGACAAGCCGTTTCATCGTGATGGCGTTGACGTGGACCGTTGATGACTCGGGCAACTGCCAGCGAGGTAGTTCCACCCAGTTACCGCTACTTCGCACAGTACAGCTACCCGTCGTCCAGTCGATTCGCGGGTTGTATCGTCGCAGCCAATCACGTCCTAGTAAAATGCCGTGCCCATCCAATGTCGTTGCGAGCATTTCCAGTGTAAACCCGAAGTTCCCCCCACAGCGGACTTTTACTCTCTCCACTTTTTCCCGTATGGCCAGCGGCGTTCCGTCAACTAAGCGTGCATCTATCTCCGGTGAGCACCGACTAAGTGTCAGTTGCAGCTTCCTTGCAGTCGCGGTGTTAACTAAGCTGTGACTTGCGCCTCCGTCGATAAAAATCTTCACTTCTGCTCCCTGTATTTTCCCGTGAATCAGTACGGGGCAATCCGTCATTGTACCCTCCTTATTCGTCCGAGCCCGATCGATAGCGGGAATCGGTACTGTGACTCGGTGAGGGTCGATGAAGTTGGGCGAGCAGGCAATCTCGTCAGTAGTTGGCCCAACTTCTACTGACTGCTGGCGTTTCCCGGCCTCTGAGACTCTCGCCCCTGCTCTGTTCCGCGGCGCCTTAGCTCCTCTGGGAATTCACTCTTGCGATGGCCCGACCTATTGCAAGCGAAGCAGCGCCCCTTAAACAGTGCAGCAGCTACATTTGTCGCAACGGCGTGTACGGTGGCGTGCTCGATCGTTCCCCGAGGGCGTTGTCCGTAGTAGGACCCTGGTGTCGGTCGTCGTAGAATGTCAATTTTCTCGGCGAGCGCGAGAATCTCGTTGAAATTCGAGAGCCCGCGTAGCATGATTTCGTGTGAGATGTCCGGCTTTAGCCCTCCGACGTAACGGTCCACCCGCTCCGCTTCGTGCATATAGCCGACTTACTCGCATAATGCGAGAAAACCGCTCGTGTAGTCTTGAACCGACCCGAGCTGCCGCCAAGTGCGCAGCTTCTGACGCGCCGAAATCGAAGCCGCAATTGGCTCGAAACGCGCTCGAAGCCCTGCGCACCACGCATCCCACGTGCTGTACTGGGCTGTCTCGCAGAATGAACTCCAGGTGACGGCTGGGCCCGTGGGCCCTTCTTCTTGCGACGGTGGCTCGTAGGCGCGTGGCGACGTCACGATGACTCGCCACTAGTCCATGGCGGGGCCCCTCAGCAGCGAAACAGCGTAGCGAATCTTCGCTGCGTCCGACTCGACGTAATTCGCATCGAAAAAGACGTTCATCGTGAAGACCCACGATTGAACCGTCGGACCTCCACGTTGGCTCGGGTCAAAACAGGGCGGACGCTGCGGCTTGAGTGGCATTGGTGCAGTGACGGCATACTCGCCACTTGTCGCTGCAAAATCCACGTGCCGACGGGCTTCGCGGGGCTCCCGCGGGCTTGGTGCGGCCCTGTTTCTCTCCATGCCAGGCATTGAGTGGGCGGCACCTTCACTGGCTACGCCTGAGCGTTGTCCCACGCTGTCATGCTGTGTTGGTGTGCCTGACGAGATTTCGATCGGCTCCTCTGATTGTGCAGGTGCGTTTGTTGGTGCTGGTGCATTCACTGTCGATTGCTGGCGAGTAGAGTTGCGTTCCGCCGTGAGTGTGGCGATTTCAAGGGCCGATTCTTCGAGTTGGCGTACGAGACGGTCGAGCTGCGCTTGCGTCAGTGTCGCGAGAGTGATTTCAGCCATGGCAGGGGTGTCGGGCAAGCTCAGCGAGAGCCTCTGTCATGGCCGTGCGTGCTTACGAGAGAGCACTACGAGCAGCGGTGCTTGATCGCTGAGAGACGTCTACCCCCCCCAAAAAATTGAGATAGTTGGGAAGCGAAGGTTTGGGTGCGGTCCGAGAGAAGATCGTAGGCTCTGATAACCAAGTGTTACGAGTGCAATTGAGTGAGCGAGCGAGGATTGCACTATCGAGACAAGATACAATGAGCGAAGGATTGAGCGAAGAATATATAGCGAAGCTACAGTGGTAACGGTAACCTGGGGTGCGCGACGAGCCTGGCGCCGAGGTTGGGTATTGTCGAGGCGGAGGTCCGGAGCGCGGGTTACCAACCGAACCGTGAGGTTGGGTCGCATCGTGAACAGTGGCGGGAATGATGTCGAGGTGAGTGTCGCGAGTGGTAACGGATTACTGTGGGGTGCTGTTGGCGGGAACAGTGGTGTATGCGCTGAGCAGGGACACGAAGTAAGGAAAAGGAATTTTCCTTACATGTAACTGCTGTTGCGGTTCGATACAACGACGACTCGGGTAACTGTTCAATAGTGAGTCTGTTATGTGTCCTTACTGTCGCGCTGCTTTCGGCGAGTCAAAGGTTGCTGACCTTTGACCTTCACTTAACATCTTGCTGTTGCTTTTTGTCAACCGCTTTGGTTGACTCGCTGTTAATCCGCTGTAGTTCGCTTCGTTTACATTGTAGTGCTCGACACATCAGAAGCGCGAACTATATGTTTCCAACAGCGTGATGGCTTACCACTCATCATGATTCATTACATTGCATACATCTGATACAGAACAGGTAATGTAATATATGCATATAAAAAGGGAAACTATAAAGAAAGAATAGCCCAAGTGTATGTCAGAATAGTAGCATAAGTAGGAGTTGGATTTAAGTTAGGGCCTAGGCTTAGTAGCCTAGGCCAAGGTGGTGTCGAGAAGGTTGTGCCAAGGTGGAGTAGAGAGAATGATGAAGTTTCACTATAGCATTGGGGTACATATAGCAAACATGAGAAGGTGCACCACAAATAGTACGAAAGCATAACTACACTAAAGCTAAAGCTACAGGCAGTTAGAAATATATATAAAATGTATATCGCGACACTTGAAGCCTTCCTCCCATGTTCACCATCCATCCCACCCCAAGCAAGCCAGCATCACACCCTAGAAATACCAGGACTGCGTGCTCTTATGCCATGCCCCTGGCTAACGCATACTAGGTTTCCATGTAGAAACCCAACCGAACCCAGCACAACCCAGGCCAACCAGCCCACTTTAAAAGCCTACAGCCCACACTCCTCCTTGAGGCAATTCAAAGGCTGCCTCTGCCCATGTTCCTGACATGCTTCAAAAGAAGGCCTCCTCCTCCCCTTCCACTTTCACGCATGCCACCAGCCTCCTCTGCTCTCTATACTCAAAGCCCTAAGCTTTATCCCAACCCGCAAGTCACCTCCTCCTCTTCCCTCACAGCCTCCTCCTTCCATGATTACTCTCGAGTCTATTCAAAATGTAGAATTTTCTTCTCCACTCACTTCTAGAATCAACAGCCCTGTGCTCACACTCCTCTCCTCCTGCCTTACCCCGCCCTCCCCCCTCCATTACCCTCCTCGGGACACCCTCTGCTTCCCCATGCATCCTGAGACGTCTCACACCTCTCCTCCTCTTGCATCTCCTTCAGGCACTTCAAGAGCCGTCCGCTCACACTCCTGCATTTTCCTGCTCTTCCTGCCATTATCCCAAGCACTCCCTTCTGCTGCTGCTCACTCCTGCTCACCACTCTCTCCCCTCTTGCCTGTCCACCCTGCAGCATTGCCCTCTGCAGCACACCCCCCTGCTGCTCTCGCAGGCCCACCATTCTCTCCGCCCATGTGCCCCTCAACCTGGCCCCACGCACTCCCTCACTGCCTTGCACAGACAGCGTGGAAGAAGAGTTTTTCCGACTCAGGATCCTCTTTCCCCCAGCCACTCCTCCGGTGACTCGCGCCAACTGGGGAGGGGAACACTTGTGCTGAATCAAACGCCTCTTGCCTCCTGTCAATCCAACTCGCACTTCCCTCCTTAGCACTCCCCCCTGCTGCTGACGCCTGCTCACCACTCTCCCCCCTCTTGCCGCTCCAACCTGCATTCCCCCCCTCAGCACATGGTGCTGATGCCTGCTCGCCACCCTGTCCCCCCTTGCCTGTCCAGCTTGCATTGCCATCTTCAGCACTCCCTCCTGCTGATCACGCCTGCTAGCCATTCTCTCCGCCCATGTGCCCCTCCGCCTGCCCCCGCCCACTCCAGCAGTGGCTTTAATGGACTGGGGAGGGGAAGCAACGACCAGACAGCCCCTCATCCCCTCTCCCTCCGCTTCTGCCCTCCATACTGTCTTGGAATCATCTCCCTCTTCCGTCACTTCCCCTTCCTCCACCTCCCCCTCCTCCCCCTCCTCCCGCACCTCCCCCTCCTCCCCCTCCTCCCCCACCTCCCCCTCCTCCCCTTCGTCCACCCTGACAAACGTCTCCACCCATCCGCCCCTCTTCTTGCTCCCAGCTACGCCATCGCTGACTTGCGTTGACCAGATGACAGCACCAGCAGAATCAGCAGCCAAGTCAGCAGCAGCCACGTCAGCAGCAGGGTCCGTTGACCCCTGTTGACTCACACGCCCGCTAACAGCAGACTTGGGGGAGGTGCTATCTGTGCGCATCCCACCACCACCATGGGGGAGAGAATCGGCAGCACCAACTGGGGGGAGTGTACCACGCGCCATGGGGGAAAGGGGGCGCGGAGGGCGGAGGTTGCAGGTAGCGCTGACAAGAAGGCGTGGCTTCTTGGCTCGTATGGAGGGGGTGGTGGGGGAATTTTGCCTCTCGCCTGTCAACAATGTCTTATTTGCCGCTGCCATAGCGTCTGACTGCACTGCTTGCACTGCCCGCGCTGTCTGCACTGCTTGCACCACCGGCAGAGCTAGGGCATGATAGCGCCAGTAGTTGGGTGCTGCCAGTGACGGCTCACGCTCCAGCACAGCTCCGCTAACCTCGCTATTCACCTGCCAAGTGGCACGAGGCCGCTTCCCCGCGCTCCCTGCTCCTGCTCCTGCTCCTGCTGCTGCTACAGTCGCTGCCGCTGTTGCCGCTGCTTCTCCTGCCGCTGGTCGCGGCAGAAATGACGCCTTCCGCACACTTGTCGCCGCTCGAGCAATCGGGCGTGACGCGCTCCCCCCCTTCGCGTTGGCTCCTTCAGCGCCGTTCGCGCGGACGAAAGAGGGTCCAGCTGATGTGGCCGTGTGAGGGGCAGCACGACTGGTCTCAGCGGGAGGGGTCGCAGTCGCGGTCGCATGCTCAGCAGTCGCAGTCACAGTCTCAGTCTCAGTCGTATTCGCATTCGCAGTCGCAGTCGCAGTCGCAGTTGCAATCGTCGCCAGAGTGTGGGGAGTCTCAGCTATCGGAGGCCCTCCGGGGGTAGCGGTCTGACGGCGCCGCCCAGACAGCCGCGACTTGCGCTTGCCGCCGATCATCTCGGGGGTTTCCGGGTCGTCCGCGGGATGCGGCGATGCGAGAAGGAGTTTCGACACCTCGCTGCGAAGCGCGGTCTCGCCGGCGTCACTATCGTCGCCCTCGCCGTCCGCGTTCTCCGCGCTGTCCACGCCGACTACGCCGTCGTCACTGTTGTCGCCCGCGACGTGCAACGGCGTCATTGTCGTCAGCGAGTCACAGTCCTCACCGCCGTCGTCATCGCATCCATGCAGTATCAGATCTAACGTCCAGCCTCGAACAGCTTCAGGTATCTCGTCAGGTTCCGCCGCAGGTGTCCCTTCAGGTGTCAGCACAGGTGTAGCCACAGGTCTTGCCGCAGGTTGCGAACACTCTGAAGACGACCCAGGTAACGCAGGCGTCGCAGGCGTCGCATTCGTGTGGGGATCTAGCGCAGGTATAGCAGAAACGGTGCGAGTCGCCTCCACATCCGGATCAGGCGGCGGAATTCCCGCAAAACCGTTTTTTTCCGGACGCTCGCTGTTAGTAGTAGGCGAATGAGTCAGTTCGCCACAATTAGTAGAAAGCGAGGTAGGCACTTTGCTGCTAGTGGGCGAGGAAGTTACACTAAGCTGATTGGACGTGTCATTAGTGACGTCAGACAGAGGCGATCGTGGGATCCAAACAGTCTGCCGCCTAGAATTAGTACGGCGGATAGTAACCATGGCGGCCAGAACCGTGCGAACGAATCGTACGATCAATGAAGTGCCTTTTGGAAGGGACCGAGATCGATAAGAACAAGAAAATAAATAACGACAAGGGTGATCCTCGCTTCTGATTCTATCACTGGAAGCCTGTAAAAAGAGCTAACGACGAGCGTGTTCTGGTGCTGAATTACTAGAACGAGCTGCTAGGAAATGTTGGACGAATATGCGATGACCCGACTGTTGGACTAAGAAACTCGGCCTTTCCGGGATGAGAGAATGAGGAGCCCTGGGAGAAACGAGTCAAGAGTCCCAGGACGCTCCAAGTCGAAGAAAATATAAGCTGTAAAAGTACGCTTGTTTGCCTTGATGACTCATCAAGCAGCGGAGCAGCGGAGCTGTGCCTTGAGATGAGAGGCAAAGGAGGTTGGATTCGACTGATGGAAGGGTGGCCAGGTGGGTCTCTCACCGCACGATGTCCAAGACCATTGGATCGACGGCTAGATATGTGTGTTTGTCTGAAGTCAGTTTGAGGAATTGCCGCCAAGCTGTTTGAACCGAATTTTGAACCCGTCACTTGGCGGCAGCGGCTCGCGCCTCGGTTGAACAAATGGAATGCTGCATGAACTCGTTTTGAGAGATCCATGACTCGTTAGTGCATTTTGTATGCAGTTTAGTAGGCAAATGGTAAGTGATAAATTCAGTCGATACAGATCATGCTAAATTTCTTAGGAAAATGAAACAATTAAAAATAAATCCTATATAGATCTGAAATAAAAAACATAATATATATTTATTAATATGATTGAGTGAAGAAGGCTTTGAGAATACAGATAGTGGATATTGCTATTTGCATTCAGCATTGTTACATCTGTTTTCGATACCAGCATGGTCAGGGTTACCGCCACGCGAGCACGCGCCTTCTGATCCATAGCGTGTGGCTGGATTTCGGGGCTACCACGCCAGCGTGGCTCGGCGCTGGGCATGTGTGTGGAACTCACAATAGTTCGCGCCATGTGGTGTCAGTCAGCAATTCGCCCCTGAACCCATCTCACCTGCCAAAAATTACCAGGGAGTTGCCTGTCATATACATTTCTTCGCTGGAGCGAACCACCTACCCATTCGAGACGAGACATACCGTACTTCTACTTCACTGCCCGTTTGCCGAAAGCAGCCCGCAGAAGCAGCCGACGAAACAAAATTCGCATGTGAGAGAAAGCCCAGCCGAATTCCAGTTGGCCTGCTGTACATTGGAAAAAAGTCCACGTGTTCCAATACCCGACCCTGTTGTTCCAGTGCATCACCTAAATGTTTCCAGTGCATCCCTTCTCATCCTATTCCATTCCATCTGAACCGATCCGGATCCCTCGGAAACACCTGTGGATTCCTCCTCCCTCGTCCTCCTGCCTTGACTACCTATGATCCATCGCGCGCGTGCACCCACTTGCTGAACGAATGACTCCGCCATCCCTGACCATTTTGCCTTATTATCCAGAAACATTTCCTCTGTTCATGTCCTAGCCTGCCCTGTGCCCGTCCCTTTTCTGTGGGCTCAGCATTTTTCCAACTCGTCAACTGCCGGCACGTCTCCTTGGGTCGCCTAATCCAGGGACAATGGAGGCTCTTACGAAGTCTTTTGTCCGTCCGCCGCTATGCGCCTCGGCGTCGCTTACCGGCCTGCCGTCAGTCGCCGTTAAATCGTCCGCTCGCGGCGGGTCTTCGTCTTCGTTCCCGTCAGTCTCGAAGGCGGCAACTTCGGCCGCAAACCGCACCGTCAGGACTTTCGCGCTTCCAGACGATGATGATGTCATCGCCTTAAATTCCGGAAAAAGTCTGGAGGAGCTCGAGGAGACGATTCGCCGCATCGCGGAGGAAAACGAGCAGCTCCGAGCTCGAGCCGCGGCCGCCGCGGCCAATGCGCGCCGCGCTGAGTCCGCTTTTAAAGGAGATGTCGACGTTTCAAGGCCGCGCATGGGGGCCGTGCCGCCGCCGCCTCCGCCGGAGTTCGCGGCGGCGCCTGTGGTCGAGTATCTGGATACGACTCTAGGGGGGGTGCCTGCAGAGGAGGTTGCTTCAGTCGAAGCTAAATACCTCGTCGAAGGTGCGTTGCGAGTGTTATTACGAGCAATCCGAAGAGCTTACGGAAACATTGGTCGTGGTAGTGTTGGTGCTCGTTGTTATGTTGGTTGTTACCGTTCGCTAAGAGGAGCTGATTACCTCGTCAAAAGTTTGTTGCTTCATGTTAAAGGCTTAAGGAAACAATGGCCGTGGTAGTGCTGGTGCTGGTTGCTGTGCTGGTGATGGTGGTTGGCTTGTAACGATTCCAGGAGTCAGCGAAATGAGCGTGGTATTCGTTGTTGTGTTGGCGGTTAGCGCTCTCGCGTGTGATTGTAAACCGCGTGGTTTGTGACTGTAATGGTGGCTGGAGGTGGCAGTCAGAAAAGGCACTGTTGAGTGTGTGCATAAGTTGACTTTTGAGTCGACTCAAAAGTCACTGTTGAGTGTGTGCATAAGTACGAGCTTTCCCGCCCCCGCTTCTCTCCCCGCGCTTCCCTCCCCGCGCTTCTCTCCCCGCGCTTCTCTCCCCGCGCTTCTCTCCCCGTCCTTCTCCCCGACTGCAGAGGCAGGGAGCGTGAGGAGCTGGCAGGAGGCGGTGGAACAAGAGGCCGCCACGTCAGCAGCGGCGGATGGGAACCTCGAGATTGCCGCAGCAGGCGGGATCGAGGATATTCAGAAGACGGAGAACCCCATGAGGTGCGGTGGGAAGGCGTGGGGTGCGGTGAGAAGACATGGGGTGCGATGAGAACGCTAATGTGTCCTTGAAGTCGACTCAGAAGCTGCCTTGACTCCAGTTACGTTTTCCCCTCCCTCATCTTTCTTCTCTCCCCTCCCTTCCCTTCCACCCCCAGCATTGTGTTCGTGGCATCAGAGGTGGCCGCTTGTTCCAACACAGGTGGGCTGGCGGACGCGGTGGGGTCACTGCCGGTGCTCCATTCCATCCCTCATATTACAGTCTGTCTTCCTCCCTCCCACCCCTCATCCCTCCACCAGCATTGTGTTCGTGGCGTCAGAGGTGGCCCCCTGCTCCAAAACCGGCGGCCTGGCGGATGCGGTGGGGTCGCTGCCAGTGCTCCATGTTCCCTCATATCCCCGTTTCCCCTGTGTTCCCTCCACCCCTCCCTCCTCTTCCCCCCCTTCAACCACCACCAGCATTGTGTTCGTGGCATCCGAGGTAGCGCCTTACTCGAAAACCGGGGGCCTGGCGAACGTGGTGGGGTCGCTGCCGGTGGCGCTGGCAGCGAGGGGGCTCCAAGTGATGGTGGTGGCGCCGCTGCTGGTGGTGCTGCGCTCCCCTCATACTTCCCTCTCTCTTCCTCGTTGACCGTGTTCCCTCTCCCAGCATTGTATTCGTGGCGTCAGAGGTAGCTCCCTACTCGAAAACAGGTGGCCGGGCGGACGTGGTGGGGTCGCTGCCGTCCCCATTCCCCCTTACCCCACATCCTCCCCCTTTCCTCTTACAGCATTGTGTTCGTGGCGTCAGAGGTAGCCCCTTACTCCAAAACCGGTGGCCTGGCGGACGTGGTGGGGTCGCTGCCAGTGGCGCTGGCAGCGAGGGGGCACCGCGTGATGGTGGTGGCGCCGCGCTACATGAACGGCGTGACTGACAAGCTCTATGCGGGGGCCTTCGACATGCAGGTGGGGGGCCTTTGACATGCAGGTTAGGGCATAGAGGTGGGTTGGTTGGTGACAAGCAAGTCACACTTAGGTGACGACGGGTGACACAGAGGTGGGTAGGGAGGGTGCGCTGGCAGCGAGGGGCCACCGTGTGATGGTGGTGGCGCTGCGATACATGAACGGCGTGACATACCAGCTCTACGCGGGGGCCTTTGACATGCAGGTGGGGGGATAGGGTGGCGGGTGACACAGGTAGGTGGGGGGGTGGCATGCATGTGTGGGGGTGGCATGCAGGTGAGGGACGAACAGAGGTTTGACATGGGTTGACATGGGTTGACATGGGTTGACATGGGTTGACATGGGTTGACATGGGTTGACATGACATGCAGGGAGGTCCTTCTACCCCGCATCTGCCGTTCCCTCCATCTCCACCTACTGCCATCTAATGTACCTTCCCAGTCTTTCCCAACTCCTGTCAAGCAAATGCCGCTGCTCCCTTTCCCCATCCCCCCCACCCGTGCCCCCTCCATGCTTTCAGAACCCATCCCGTCTCGGATCGGTTCCTGCCCTTTTCCTCATTGTCTCTCCCTGTATCCAACCTGTCTTCCCTTGGCCTCCGACCTGTCTCTTCCTCCCCTTCCCCCTGTGTGTGCATGAACACAGTGTCGCATCAAGTGCTTCTGCTTTGAGGGTGACTTTTGAGTCGACTCAAAAGCCGACTCAAATGTCTGCAACCTGTCTTCCCTTTGCCTCACACCTGTCTCTTCCTCCCCTCCCCCCTGTGGGTGCATGAACAGTGTCGCATCAAGTGCTTCTGCTTTGAGGGCGCACACGAGGTGGCCTTCTTCCATGAATTCAGAGACGGCGTTGACTTTGTAAGACCTCACCTGCGTTGACCGGGTTGACTTTGTAAGACCTCACCTGTGTTGACCGGGTTGACTGACTGGTTCTCCTCTCCTCTTTCTAACACCACCTTCCGTTTCTCCCCCACACCTTACAAGTTGCACGTTGACACATGCTTCTCTTTCTTGCTCATCGCAAGGTAAGATACACTCCCTCCCAATCTCCCTTTCGCCCCACTCACTAATCCTCCCCTCTTCCCCTTGTCCCTTTCCCTTCTCCTGTTCCTTTCTCCCTCTCCACATGCCTCTCTTTCTCCCTCACACTTCCCTCACTTTCTGTTTCTATCTCCCTCCCTCTGCCCTCTCACTCCCCCCATCACCCCCTCTCTCTCCCTGCTCCTTTGAGTCGGCCCTTTCACAGCACACCTGCGCCCTAGCACCTCTCTCCCTCGCAGGTCTTTGCCGACCATCCATCGTACCACCGTCCTGATTTTTGAGGCGCCTCAAAAACCCTTTCACTCACTTCTCCCTTCCCCCCTTCCCCCCTTCCCCCCTTCCCCCCTTCCCCCCTTCCCCCCTCTCACAGGCCTTTGTTGACGATCCATCGTAACGAGGTGACTTTTGAGTCGACTCAAAAGTCTCACTCACTTCTCCCTTCCCCCCTTCCCCCACTCGCAGGTCTTTGTCGACCATCCATCCTACCACCGTCCCGGCACGCCCTATGGCGATCAGAACGGCACGTTTGGGGACAACCAGGTGGGTTTTAGAGAGAGAGAGAGAGAGAGAGAGAGAGAGAGAGAGAGAGAGAGAGAGAGAGAGAGAGAGAGAAGCAAGGGACTTAGTCTCTTCCCTCCTAGGCTCTTCCCCTCTCTTCCCCAGCTATATAAGGGCCCCTTGGCCTTCTCTCCAGCTCATTCTTCATTTGGTGTCTCTGATTTTTCCGGCGCTTCGCGCCGGCGCTCGCGGGCGCGGCCTGCGGCCGCGCGCTTGGGACGACAAGGACAATAACAAGGACGGCTAGATGACGGCAAAAATGACAACCATGGCAGACAACGACAACTAGACAAGCTACCATGGAACGGGTCTACACACGCGCGAGGGGGCCGCCTACATGCGGTCCGCCTCAAGCTCACCAAGCATTTCGCGCGTGGTCAGCCACATCTGGCGGACCACTGACGCGGTGGCGCCGACAACGTCAACAGGAGTTCCACGAGTTGCTACAAGGGTCCTCAGACCCAGGGCCGTCTCAGCCAGCAGGGTGGCCGAGACTACTCCCGGCGAGGGCGCGACCTGCAGTGGCGATACGAACGAGAATAATGCTGACGCCGCCGCGTGACACCTTGCTCGCGGCATCTGAGAGAACGTGCTCGGCGGGGTCTCCAACATGGAGCCATGCGACTCCTGGAGAATCAGCTCAAGACTCTGCAGGCACTCCGCCAACGACCACAAGTGCGCCAGGGTCGCCGTGGGCACTGGCTTCATCTGCGGGGGGAATGCAGACGCGCGAGATCGGCGAGCCGACACTGCCAGATCACGAGGAGCAGGGAGGGGACGTGGCGGAGCGAACTGGGCCCACGGGTCCCCGCCACCCGCGCCAACAAAGCCAGTCCCCGCAGGCAGCGGACGAACTGAGCGCGCCGGGGATCCCACAGGATTATGGGGCAGGAGCGCGGCGAGAGGAGCGACTGGAGCAGCAGGAGGAGCAGATTGCGAGGACGACCCCGCATGGGAGCGGTGGAGAGCTTTCTCCACACCGTCCAATTTCTTCAGGACTTGCTCCATCGCGGAAGGCGCCGGACGCGCAGCCCCGCCGCGACCGTAACCCCCCCGTCGCCCACGATGCGCACGCCCACTCGCGCTCGAACGCACAGGCGACTGTGGGCGAGACAGGCCCCGCTGACGCTGGCGGTCAGAGGAACGCTCCGTGCGACGAGGAGAGTAGGGCCGCTGGCGCTTCGCAAGAGGGGGAGAACGTGGCGCCAAGGACCGATATCCAGACGCATGACGAGCAGGCGATCGCGGACGAGAGGAGCGGGGAGCGGGAGAACGGTGGCGATACGAGCGGTGGTCACGGGAACGGCTCCGTGACACCTTGCGCCGAGGAGATCGAGGAGACCGCGGTGATCGCGGAGACCGCGGCGGGCGCGAGTCAGCGCGACGGTCGTCGTGGCGGCTCTCCCGCCTACCGTCGTGGGCCACCGGTGAACGATGGCGAGGCGAATGCCCCCGGTGCGCCACAGCCTCTGCGCCGGAGCGCGCGACGGATCCGCCTCCGAGCAGACCCGCCTCCGAGCAGACCCAGATCCCGACGCTGATCCTCAAAGCGCCGACGGATCTCGTCCGCAGCCGCCGGCGGAGCAACAGGCACGCTCGCGGCAGGACGCGCGGGAGGAAGTGGACGGGGAGCAGGATCAACCTCCACGGCGCGGTCACAGCCCAGAGCACCGAGGAAGTCCATCGGCCTCCGCTCTAGGCGCGCCACTGGCCCGGGACGGGCCGATGACCCCGATCCCCCAGGCGCAACAGGCCGCACCAGTGGCCGCCACTCCGAGGAGCGGGCGGGGAAGCACGCGGGGAAGAGGCGGGCGTCGAGGAGCACGCGGAGTACAGCGCAGCGCAGGCCTCGCGGCAAGGGGGAACCCCCGCCAGCCACCGAGCCCAATCTGGTTAGGGGAGCCGGCGGAACGAGTCACGCGCCAGTCGTTCGCCAGGCGCGGGGCGAGGGGTGGAAGGACAGCGCAAGCAGGGAGAAATGGCGATACAAATGCAGAGGGGAGTGGCGACGAATATGTACCGTCGGATCTGAGGCAACCCGACAATCCCGACTCACCCCGCGCGGGAGCAGGGGCGGAGCAGGCGCAGTTGCAGGAGCGAGGATTGGGCCGCCGACAGAACCGCAGACCCCAACCCCCCCCGGACCAGGCCCTCTCAGCATCCCAGCTGGCATCGAGGGACGATCTCTTTGAGATCGCGATGAGCTGGGACTTGTCTACCCTAACATCGACCTCTCACCTGCCTATCGTCCGCCGCCTGCCGCCGCAGATCCTAAGCGACTATTCCACCTGTATGCTGGCAGCGCTCCTACGGATCTCCAAGCTGCCAAACTGCGCGGGAGCTTGGCGGGTCCTCATGTTTCTGCCACGTCTGACCCTACGACTTAGCAGGAGGTCCAGCTCTAGGTGGAAGGTGCTGCGAGAACAAATGCACCTATTCAGATGTGGCCACTGGAACCAGCTGTACAGTGACTACACGGGGTCCCTGCACCAAGCCGAACCACCTCAGCACCAAAATGACCCCCTGGGAATCTGCTCACGAGTGGAGGGGCTGGTGAAACGGAGTAACCTGCGAAAAGCACTTGCAGCCCTCCAACCCTCGCCAGCAGCCCCTGCGACAACCGCGACACTACAGCAGTTGGAATCGAAACATCCCCAACCCCAAATTGACCTGCCCGACTGGGTCCACACCTACACAACACCCACGCAATTTTCGTGCACCACAGAAAACTTCTCAAACGTTCTTGGGGATTGCCCTAGCGGTGTTGGGGCTGGTCCATCTGGGTCAACATTTGAACATTACCGCGACCCAGCCCTAAGTAACATCGAAGTACTAGGGCACCTGCACTCCGCCGTAACCCACCTCCTCTCGACAAACCTCTCCGCCGAGGTTGCAGCACTACTCTCGCCATCCCGCCTCATTGCATTCGCGAAACCAGGGGGGGGGGTACGCCCTATAGCGATAGGAGAATCCCTGCTCCGGCTGGCAGCAAAGGTTGCACTCTCAGAACTGCAAGGAGAAACAAGGCGATTTTTCTTACCCCAACAATTCGGCGTGGCAGTCCCAGGCGGGGCCGAGTTCGTTATCCACGCAGTCAGAGACCTCACCACTTCACATCCATCAAGCCTAGTCCTCCAACTCGACATCGAAAACGCATTCAACTCTGTAGAGAGGATAGCGTTCTTTAACGCACTCACCAACACCCCGCTCGCCCCACTCATTCCCTTCACACGCTCCTTCTATGCGACGCCTTCACAGCTGCTGACCGATCCCCGCTTAAGCACAACGGCACTTACCAGTGGTAGGGGAGTTAGGCAGGGGCACCCCCTTGGACCCCTTCTATTCGCGGCTTCAATCCAGCAGCACCTCAGACGCGTAGCAACAGAACACCCCGAAGTCACAGTCCTAGCATACGCAGATGACATCACCCTGATTGGACCGGCGACAGCAACGCTAGACGCACTAAAGGTACTGACACCGCTGCTAGCCCAGGACGGCCTCACCTGCAACCTCCGAAAATCGTCGGCCTGGTCCTCCTCGCCGATCGAAGGTAATGAGCTCCCTGAGGGCCTTCCCCTCACCCACGAGGGGGTACGGGTGCTAGGAAGCCCTGTGGGGTCACAGCGCTTCTGCGCTGACCTCGTCCGCAGTACCTTGACTGACGCGGCGGCACCCCTGGGCTCCTTAGCATCCATCCATCCACAGCATACCCTCCTGCTCCTATCTCGCTGCATCAGCCGCAGAATAGGCTACCTGCTGCGCACCACTCCGGCAGACGCCTTACCTCTCTCAGAATGGCATACGTGGTGCGCCGAACTGCTCAACACTGCCTTAACCGCCGCCAGCATCCAACCACCCCGCCATGACACAGAGTTCAACTTCCTACTTCGCCAAGCAACCCTCCCAGTAGCACTGGGTGGGCTAGGCCTCACGGACCCCACAACAGAAGCAGCACCAGCCTACCTGGCTTCGACAACAGAGGCGCTACGCCTACTCCGCTCACTTGACCTCCCAGCAACCTCGGCGCTAGGGAGCAACAGCAACGCTCTACAGCCGTCGGCGCTCGGTCACCATCCAAGACATGGAGGGACGACTGCCACCACTGGCACTGCAAATCCTCCGCGGGGAACAGGAATCCCCGTCCCAAGACCAGCTGCAGCGCGCCCTTTCCCAGGAAGTACATGCGGCAAAGGCCGACGGCCTGACAGAGGAATCACGCGCAATCAGGTCTGCCCCCGAGATGGGGCACACACTCCGCCTCGTCAGCCTGGGAGGTGAGGGAGCGGGGGCATGGCTGCAGGCCCTACCCCTAACCCCAGATCTCTGCTTTTCACCAGGGCAATTCCGAACAGCCCTGGCCTTCCGCATGGGCATCCGGCAGAACGTACCCACCGTGTGCGAATGTGGAGAGCTCGTAGCCGACTGCAGCCTCCCCAACCACTTACTCCGCTGCAGCACAGGCCCTGACCGAACACGCACACACAACCAGCTGGCTTTCGCCGTGGCTAAAATGGCGAGGGAGGCACAGCTGGTGGTATACCTGGAGAACGCGATGTACTCACCACCGGATGACCCGAAGAAGGCAGATGTGATTGTACGCGACCCAGACAGTGGTGAAACATGGATCACAGACACGACCATCACTGACCCCGTGCTACAGAACCGTGACCCAGCAGCCCGCAAACCCCCTGGATGGGCTGCAAGGGAGGCTCAGAAAAGGAAGGAACGGGACTACTACAGGCACACAGAACACGTGGTGTTCTGCGCCCTAGCCGTTGAAACCTATGGGGCAAACGCACCCCCCACGACGGCGTTCCTGAAGCTTCTGGCCACAGCAGCAGCTAGGAACCGCTTCAGGGCCAATCCCTTGGCGAAAACCGCCAAGAAAATGGCATGCCACTTCAGCCAGCGCTGGTCAGTGGCCCTCCAGCGCTCTCAAGCGAATGCCCTGCACACCAAGGCCAGGGCACTGCTCAAGCGAATGTCCCTCGGGGACTGCCTTGCCATCCTGGAGCCGGCATTGGAGCTGCCTTAGAGGGTGAAGGAGGGTAGGTAGGATGTGGGGGTTTTAGAAGCTGAGATGCATTGCTTCTTATATCCTTGTGCATGTCTGTACCTTGCTCGGATCTAATACACGGACCGCTTGAGAGAGAGAGAGAGAGAGAGAGAGAGAGAGAGAGAGAGAGAGAGAGAGAGAGAGAGAGAGAGAGAGAGAGAGAGAGAGATGGAGCTTGGGTGCTGATTGCTGCAATCGCACAATTCTCATCGCATGAATGTGCGATGGTTGTTCATACAATTCAGCTGTTATGGAAAGGAGTGCTGCCTTGCCCCTCTATGCCTCACTGTTCCTACTATTCTCTTCCCCTCTGTTCCTTCTTCATGAATCATCATCCCCGCTGTCCTCCGTTCCTCCTCCCTTCTTCCCCACGCCAGTTCCGCTTCACGCTGCTGTGCCATGTGACCTGCGAGGCCCCGCTACAGTTGGAGTGGGGTGGATTCACCTATGGAGATAAAAATATGTTTCCATGCCTCACTGCTCCCATTTCCCCCCTGATCCATCCTCCCCTTCCCCCTCCTGTCCCCACACGCCAGTTCCGCTTCACGCTGCTGTGCCATGCGGCCTGTGAGGCGCCTCTACAGCTGGAGCTGGGCGGGTTCACGTACGGAGAGAAGGTGCTATTCATCGCCAATGACTGGCATGCTGGGCTGCTGCCCGTGTGAGTGGGGAAAGAGCGAGGGGGGAATTTTAATGGATAAGGGGGGGGGGGGGTGGAAAGGGGTGGGGAGACAGCTGGAGCTAGGCAGGTTCACGTACGGGGAGGTGGTCTTATTCATTGCCAACGACTGGCACGCTGGGCTGCTCCCTGTGTGAGAGGGGGGAGAGGAGGGGATGGGAGGGGAGGGGGAGGAGGAAGCGACAGCTGGAGATGAGTGGATTCCTCCCCAACCCTGATTTTCCGTTGCTTTCTTTTTTTCCGCGCCCTTTCTCCCATCAGCCTCGTCGCGTCCAACTACCGCCCTCACGGTGTGTACAAGGATGCTCGCACCATCCTTGCCATCCACAACCTCTCCCACCAGGTCAGGACAAGCCTTGCCATCCGCAGCAGGTGAGGACAAACCTTGCCGTCCACATTTTCGCACTAGATGAGGACAAGCCTTGCCATGCACAGCCTATCCTTCCCAAGAAGGACAAAGCTTGCCATCCACAACCTCTTACACCAGGTACGTACAACATGGTGTATTCATCTGCCTCCCAAATTACCGCTTCTTCTCCATCCCACACTCCTTCCCTCTCCCCCACTCCTCTGCTTCATCCCTTCTCTTCTCCATTTTCCCCCGCTCCACCACAGGGTGTGGAGCCAGCCAGACTACACGTTTGGCAGACTTGGTGTGCCGGGCGACTGGTACGGTGTGCTGGAGTGGGTGTTCCCGGAGTGGGCACGCAAGCAAACCTTGGTTCCTGCTCTCCCACCCACCCACCCCCTCTCTATGACAGGGTGTGGAGCCAGGCTACGCGTTTGGCAGCCTGGGTGTGCCGGGTGAATGGTACGGCGCGCTGGAGTGGGTGTTCCCGGAGTGGTACCAACCGACCTCCCTCTCCCTTTCCCTTGGCTCTACCGCCCTCCCCCACCGCCCTCCCTTCAGGGCGTGGAGCCAGGCTACACATTCGGCAGCCTGGGAGTCCCGGGTGAATGGTACGGCGCGCTGGAGTGGGTGTTCCCTGAGTGGGCGCGCAAGCACGAGTTGGACAAGGGCGAGGCGGTGAACATCCTCAAGGGGGCCATTGTGACTGCTGACAGGATCGTGACTGTCAGCCCGGTACGTGTGTATGTGCTGCTGGGAGGGGTGCGCTGCCCGTGCATGCACATGGCAAGGCAAGCACGAGTTGGACAAGGGCGAGGCGGTGAACATCCTCAAGGGGGGCATCGTCACTGCTGACAGGATCGTGACTGTCAGCCCGGTACGTACGTGTGTCTGCCGCGCGTGTGTGTTGCGTTGCGTGTGGGTGCTCATGCTGCTGTGGGGAGTAGTGCTCACTGCATGCGCGTTGCAAGCACGAGTTGGACAAGGGCGAGGCGGTGAACATTCTCAAGGGCTCCATCGTCACTGCTGACCGGATTGTGACAGTCAGCCCGGTACGTGCAGCATGTGTGTGTGTGCTGGTGCTGCTGTGGGGGGTACATGGCGTGAGCTCCACGTGTGTGGTGTCAAGGCAAGCACGGAAGGAGTTGGGCAAGGGCGAGGCGGTGAACATCCTCAAGGGAAGCTATTGTGACTGCTGACAGGATCGTGACAGTCAGCCCGGTATGCGTGTGCGTGTGTTAGTGTGTGTGGTGTGGTGTGGTGTGGTGTGGTGTGGTGTGGTGTGGTGTGGTGTGGTGTGGTGTGGTGCATGCTGCTGTGGGGTTGCATGGCGTCACCCCTCGCCCCTGACCCACTCACCCCGTCCCTGTTCCTTTCCCTCATCTTTCCTCTCCCTCCCCCTCACCTTCCCTCAGGGCTATGCCTGGGAGATCACGACAGTGGAGGGCGGGTGGGGTCACATACACACGCCCTCTACCCTTCCCCCACTCACCCCGTCCCCCTCCCTCTCCCTCCCCCTCCCCCACCTCTTCCCCCCACCTTCCCTCAGGGTTATGCCTGGGAGATCACGACAGTGGAGGGCGAGTCGGGTCACACACCCTACCCTTCCCCCTCCTCACCTACCCCCCCTCGTCTCCCCTCCCTTCTTCCCCCCACCTTCCCTCAGGGTTACGCCTGGGAGATCACCACAGTGGAGGGCGGGTGGGGGCTTGACGGGCTGCTCAGGGGGCGAAGCTTCGTGCTCAACGGTAGGAAGCTTCACATGCAATCAATACAGACTGCGATGAGGTGCATTGGCGTGGTGGCACACTTCTTTCCCCCCTCCCTCCCCATGACTTTTTTTGAGGCGCCTCAAAACTATGACGTGCATTGGCGTGGTGGCACACTTCCCCCCTCCCCATGGCTTTGTATGCATCTCCAACCCCCCGCAACCTCCCCCCTCCCTTACCCACCCACCCACCCTCCCCATGGCTTTGTATGGCCTTGCTACGTACCTGCCCCACTCGCTTTGTCGTTCTCTGGCCCACCCACCCACCCACCCACCCACCCACACGCCCAGTTCCCTTGTTGATTCCCCCCCAGGTGTGACCAACGGAGTGGATGTGGTGGACTGGACTGGAACCCTGCCAGCCACGGACAAGCCTGCAAAGCAGAGAAGCACATCGCATCTGAACCGCCCTAACCCCCCTTCCCTGCCCCTTGCCGTGCTTGCAGGTGTGACCAACGGAGTGGATGTGGTGGACTGGAACCCTGCCACAGACAAGCACATCCCCTCGCAGTACACTGCTGCTGACATGGCTGGCAAGGTGGGATGGTGTGGAAAGTGATGAGGAGGGGGGGGAAGGTGGGCAAGTGGGATTGGATGTGCAGGGATGGTTTAGAATGCACCCCACTGCACCCCATGCCGGCCCACTGCACCCCACTGCGCCCCATGCCAGCCCACTCATGCATCCTTCCTTCCATGCTTCCAAGTGTGTTTATGTTTATGTTACCTTTGAGAACTCTTGAAGCTCGTTCAAGTGTACCCCTCCTTGGGGTTGGGCCCATCCAAGCCCGCGTAAACCGTTGGCTCACACATCACATCACAACAACTACTCTTCCCCTGTTCCCTTCCCCCTCCCCCTTTCCCCCTCCCCCTTTCCCCCTCCCCCTTTCCTCCTCCCCCCTTCCCTCTCCGCCCTTCCCTCTCTCCCCTCGTTCCACTCTGCTGCCATATCAGGCAGCGTGCAAGGCAGCACTGCAGCAAGAGTTGGGTCTCCCTGTCCGACCTGACGTGCCTCTGGTGAGACACACGCGCCAGGGTGCCAGGGTGAGGGTCCTCATTGGAATTATTTTTTATAATCACTTTTGAGAATTCTCAAATCACACACGCGTCAATGTGCTACTGGTGAACATCCTTGTTAGGTCAAGTCAGTGGGTGGGCTCTGGTGGGAGCAGGTGGGAGTGGGTGGGAGTGGGTGGAAGTGGGTGGGGCTGTTTGGTTGGCAGATAGACAAACCACCTGTGGCACCTGTGGCAGAACTCGTCTCCCCTTTTCCTCATTTCCCCCATGGCAGATCGGCTTCATCGGTCGCTTGGACTGGCAAAAGGGCCCTGACGTTATTCAAGCGGGAGTGCCGGAGCTTATGACTGACGACGTGCAGTTTGTGAGTGGCGGGGGGAAGAAGTGGGAGGGGGGGGAGGAAAGAGTACAACAGGGGGGGCATTTCTTTAGGCGCCTCACAAATCAATACTACAAGCGGGAGTGCCGGAGCTTATGACTGACGACGTGCAGTTTGTGAGTGGAGGCTTGGGGAGGAAATTATAGCGGGGATATGGTTGGCAGGGTGGGGATGTTTGTCGTTTAGCAGTTGCGGGAAATAGGGCTGGCAGTTCTTGAGGCACTTTAAAAATCGTTGCAAGTGGTGGTGCTTGGATTGGAGCTCGTGACATTTTCTGAAAATACTTGAAGCGCGAGCTGGTTTTCGAGAATTCTAAAAACAAAAAAAGATTGTTGCAAGTGGGGGACTTTGAGGCGCCTCAAAACGAGCTGGTTTTTGTGAATTCTCAACAACCAGATTGTTGCAAGTGGGGGTGGTTGGAGCTCGTGCCAGATGATTCGTGTTTTGAGTCGACTAAAAACAGGTGGGGGTGCTTGGAGCTCGTGACAGATGACGATGTGCACTTAGTGAGAGTTGGGGGGTGGGTGTGGGAGGGGGCAGGAGTTTTCCTTTTAGCGGGGATGGATTTGTATATATGCATATATGTGAACCCATCCTCGCCTCTAGGATTGCTTGAAGCATGAGTGCCGGATCTCATAAATGCCTCGATGATATGCAGTTGGTGCAGTTGGTGCGCCGCCTCAAACACAGACCATGCTGGGCAGGGCAGATGTGGGGTAGGGTGAGTATCGACCTCCCCCCTGCATACCCCCCTCTTGTCCCCCTGAATCTGAAAGAAACTAGGAGCTGTAGAAACTTGAGGAAGAATGATTGACATTAGCTCAAGAGAGCACAAGGTTATACAAGGAAGAGAAGGTTGAAGGAGAAAGGTTGGGTTGACCATAAGTTGGGTTGGCCTCACTTAGGGAAGTGAGGCAACCTAAGGTCAAGTGGGTTGCATTTGGGGGCTCCACCACAATCGGGTTGGATTGGCACCCCACAATGCAAGACTACACCCAAAGTTGGGTGTAGTCCCAACCCAACTGTACACCACAATTGGTGTACAGTCACAAGTGTTAGCATGCTAGAACATACAATTCTAACAGAATCCACACCCTCGCTTGCCCTCCTTCCCCCCATACCATACCTCTCACTTACAACTCTTTTCCTTTCCATGCATTCCTCCCACGTGTATGAAGAAGTGGTTTGAGACGTCTCAGAACCTTTCCTTTCCATGCATTCCTCCCCCTATCCTGCAGATCATGCTGGGCAGTGGCGATGCGGAGTACGAGTCGTGGATGGCGTGGGCGGAGGGCGAGGATCGGGACAAGTTCCCTCATGCATGTACCCTCTCTCTCCTGCCCAGCCCATTCTCTCTTGTCCTCCTTCCCCACCACAACACAGATCATGCTGGGAAGCGGCGACGCGGAGTACGAGTCGTGGATGGCGTGGGCGGAGGGGGGGCTCTGACCTGCCCCTTGCATGCATATGCCCTCCCTCCCACCAATCCTCCTCCCACTGTCCTTCAGATCATGCTGGGGAGTGGCGATGCGGAGTACGAGTCATGGATGGCGTGGGCGGAGGGCGAGTATCGGGACAAGTTCCGCGGCTGGGTGGGCTTCTCCGTGCCTGTGGCCCACAGGATGACGGCGGGGTGAGTGAGGGTGGGGGGATGGTTGGGCCTGGCAACACTGCGCTGCCTGTGAGTCACTGCACTGCCTGTGAGTCACTGCACTGCCTGTGAGTCACTGCACTGCCTGTGAGTCACTGCACTGCTTATCACTTTCTCACTCTCTTTGAGGTGCCTTTTTTTTTTGGCGCCTAAAAAATTGTCGCTGCACTGCGTGTCACTTTCTCACTCTTTTCCTCCCTTGCCGCTCTCTTCTTGTCCCTGCAGCTGCAGCATCCTGCTCATGCCATCGTGCTTCGAGCCGTGCGGGCTGAACCATATCCCCTTCGCACTTCACTCTCTCATCCCTTTCTCTGTTTTCTTCCCCTTCGTTTCACTTTCCCCCCTTGCCGTCCCCTTGTTGTCCCCACAGGTGCGACATCCTTCGCATACCGTTGCGCTTTGAGCCGTGCTGTTCCTCATCCCCTTCTCTCCTTGCCCACCGTCCCCTGGCTTGCCCTCCCCTCTCCTCGCGCCCCCCTGCTAATTTGCTGCCGCAGCTGCGACATCCTGCTCATGCCATCGCGATTCGAGCCGTGCGGGCTGAACCAGCTGTACGCCATGCGATACGGCACCATCCCCGTTGTGCACGCCACTGGCGGGCTGAGGGTGAGTGGGGGAGTGAGAAGTAGGAGGACGGGAGGAGAAGAACAATTCAATGGTTGGGGAGGAGGGACGGAGGGAGGAAGGATGTAGCAAAGGCTGAGCCGTTGAATTGTTCTTCCCAGCAAAGGATACACGCCGTACACCACTGAGTACACCACTGAGTACACCACTGAGTACACCACTGAGTACACCACTGAGTACACCACTGAGTACACTGTTCCCTTTCCCGCCCATCCCTGTGATTTCTTCAACCCCCCCCCCCCCCCTGCTCCCCCTCCCCCCTCCCCCCCCTTCCCTCCCTGCTATTCCCTCTTCCCAACCCGCACTCCCCCCATTCCCTCTTCCCTCCCACCCCCCTTCTCCCCTGCAATCTACCCCAGGGCACAGTACACAATTTCAACCCATTGGCCAACAAGGGCAAGGGGTGCAACAAGGGCAAGGGGTGCAACAAGGGCAAGGGGTGCAACAAGGGCAAGGGGTGCAACAAGGGCAAGGGGTGCAACAAGGGCAAGGGGTGCAACAAGGGCAAGGGGTGCAACAAGGGCAAGGGGTGCTACAAGCAGTTCTGACTGTTACCCTCCCCCACTTCCCCCCCATTCCCCCCTCCCCTCCCTTCTTCCCCACCGCCCCCCTCCCCCTTCTACCCACCCCAGGACACGGCTCAGGACTTCAATCCGTTTGCCGACAAGGGCAAGGGCGCTTCAACCTGTTCTGGTTGTTTACCCCCCTCCCCCCTTGCTTTCTTCTCCTCTCTTACTTCGTCCACTCTCTCCCACCTTCCATCCACCCCAGGACACGGTTCAGGACTTCAACCCGTTTGCCAATGAGGGCAAGGGCGATGGCACGGGGTGAGCGGAGGGGGGGAAGGGGGGAGATAAGCAAAGGGTTTCCAGTTGGGGGGGGGGGGGGGAGCGGATGGTGGTGTAGGATGGGGGGGAAGATGGGAGAGGAGGGGTGGGGGGCGGATAGGGGAGGGTGGGGTGGGACTAGGAAGGGCCAGGAGGGAGGGCAGGAAGGGCCAGGAGGGAGGGCAGGAAGGGCATGCTTCTTTTAATTTAAAGGGGAAGGGGAGGGGAGCAAGGAGAAGCGAAGACGGTTGGCTCAGGCAAAGGGGGCAAATGAGGGGTGGAGGGAGGCTCCACTGTACAAGGGAGTGAGAGGGGTTGATGTGACACCAGGGGAAGGCCTAAGGGATGGAAGGGTTGTAAAGAGGGCAGAAACGGGTGGCTAGATGAGACGTGGCCTCCGCTGCTTTATACCTCCTTGGCTGTTCGTCTCTCAAATGCATAGGCTTTTCTCCTCACCCTTCACCCTACACCTTACACTGAATCACCTTCGCTGATCCCTTACTCGCCTGTGATGCATCTCATCCTTCGCCCCTCAGGTGGACCTTCTCACCGCTCACCAAGGAAGCCATGATGGGGGTGAGTGCGTGCATGCATGCGTGCGTGTGTGTGTGTGAGTGCGTGCGTGCGTGTGTCTGGTAACCAGTTGTGTTTGTCCGTCAATGGTACTCACGAACTGTTACTGTTACTGCTAATCTCTTCAATATTGGCTCTTTTCTGCTCTTTTTTTTTCAAGATTTTTCTCTGACGTGCACATACTTGATTACCCCTCCGCATAGCTGAATACCCCTCTGCATACATGACTACCCCTCTGCATACATGACTACCCCTCGGCATACATGACTACCCCTCTGCATACATGACTACCCCTCCATATACCTGATTACTGCTTACATACCTTCCCACCACTCTGCACCCATGCATGTGCTGTGGACGGCGATTCAGACGTACAGAGAGCACAAGGACTCGTGGGCGCGGGTGATGGAGCGGGGCATGCTGGTCCACATACCCCACTACCTCTCCTACCTTACCATTCCACACACCTCCCCACCACTCCACACCCCTGCAGGCGCTGTGGACGGCGATCCAGACGTACAGGGAGCACAAGGACTCGTGGGCGCGGGTGATGGAGAGGGGAATGCTGCAGGACATGTCGTGGAACAAGGCAGCCGAGCAGTACGAGCAGATCTTTGGCTGGGCCATGCAGGACAAGCCCTATGCTTGATTCAGGAAAGATATGTGTTGCTGCTGGGTACACTTGCGACTCAAATGGGTTGCTGAAGCAATGGGTTTTCTGTGTTGATTGACACTGAAGATGTTCATGCAGGGCTGACGTTTCACTTTAGGGCTCCCTGATGCCGCTAAATTTTTTTTCCCTCGATTATGAGTGCACATTGTTCAGAAGATTGTCACCCTGATGGCTCAGGGTTCAACAACTAGTCACTCTGATGAGTCAGGGTCGACAGCCTGAATTCAGGGTTGTATTTCAAATTTTACTAGGGTGATTACTGCAATGTACAGCCTGTAACAAATTTCCTCCTACATCTACTCTATTCTAGTGCACAGGCCTATCGATGTGGAACACTTCCTCCACATCCTCATCGTCCGAAAGGGATTGTCCTCCTCCTCCTCCTCCCCCACAAGCTCCTGATCGTCGCCCAGGGCCTGTTCCACATCCTCCTCTTCCTCCTCCTCGTCCTCCTCCCCATCGTTGTTGGCAGCTCCTGCTTCGACTTCACCCTCCTTTGCTTTCCCCCTCCTTTCGCGATCAGCCACAGCAAGTTTCGCGCTCTTTGCGGGGCGCCTCCTCCTCATAGACCTCCAGACCTCCAGGGCGTCCGGCCACTCGATGTCGTAATTCAGGAGCGAAATCTGCATCAGCTCCCCCAGCCGCGCGTTGCAGAGAGCGCCGCGCACCCAAGACTTGATAACATTTTGCCTCGAGAATCCTCTCTCGCACTCCACAGTTGACAGGGGGAGCACCGCGATCGCCTGCCATAGGAGGACGAGGTTGGGCCACCTCCTGCCAGGCACATTGTCGGAGATGGGTGGGAAACAGAGTGACCACATGCACAAAATACATTAGACTCCCGCATGGCATAGCATGCTGTCACACTACGGGGACATACCTCTTCGAGTCCACGCTCCCGAGAATGTTGGTCAGTCCCTGCGTGAAGCTTTCCAGCTCGTGGTGCGCCTCCATGATCGCACAGAATGTGGGAAGCTCCCTCTCTGCGGCCTTGAGGTCGAATCCCGGCAGCTTGTGGCGGAAGAGTTTGCTGCATCCCAGAAGCCACTCACGACACTTCTTCTCCCGTTGTGCCTTGATCTTCGGCCACTTTCCGGCCCGAAACAACTTCGTCGGCCCCAGCTTCCCCAGGTCATCTAGCCGCTCGTTGAGATTGTCCACGCAATCGCGGGCGAAACTGCGGCACAGCTTCACGCACTCCTCGTATCCGCTCCCCACCTTGTGCCCCGGGAGCTTCCGCTCGTGCATGGTGTACAGATGGTTCACTGGGCGTCCCTCCCCGTCCACGCCTCTCACACGGACCTTCTTGCCTCCACCATGCCCGTGCAGCTTCAGAAAGCCGACCAGCCAGCACTTGCCCTCGCCACCGAACTGCTTGTGGGTCTCCAAATACCGCTCAGTCAGATCCGCCGTGGTGGCCTCGATGGTCTTCGCAATCTCCGTCACATCAATCTGTAAGGGCACAGTCATACAGGACATGTCATTTTACATCCAACACTCGATAAATTGGAGACACTAGCAGAGGCGTGTTCGTGGAAGATTAAACAAACTCACATCTCGCTTCTGGAAACAGCGGTTGAGGTCGTTCATGTCGGCGAGGATGTCGGCGAGGAAGAACAGGCAAAACTGGAACTTGTAGCACGTGACGATCTCGTACACCTTGTGACTCCGCTCCCACAGAAGAACGATACACGCACCGAGCACCTTGCACAGCCGTCGCACCGCATCTCCACGTTAGAGCCAGCGAACCGTGTGGATCCCCTGGACTTCGAGGTTAGTGTTGTAGATCACACGCTGCAGGTACTTGAACCGTTGGCTCCAGACTGAAGAATCTCCTAGTTTTGCCGCCACGGTGCGCACCACCTTGTCCACCATGCCGAGGTCGGGGTTGGACGTCGCCGCGTCCTTAACAGCCAGCGCCTCCCTGCAATGGATAACGTTAATAATTGTTAGAGTAGAAATCAGGCAAGCAACATGAACTGGATCAATAACTGGCACTAAATCTTACCGGTGCGCGATGCAGTGACAGGAAAAGAGATGCGGGGCGTGCTCCCTGATCCGCGCCACCAATCCGTTGTCCTTCCCCGTCATGACCGAAGCCCCGTCCGTACTGATTCCGACAAGCTTCGACACGTCGACGGCTGCGGAGCGCAGATGATTCATGAGCACCTCGAACAGGGACGCAGCATCACACTTCTCCACAGTCAGGAGGGTGAAGAACTCGGTGACGACTCGGCAGTCCTTGATGAAGGTCAGGTAAACAATCATGTGTTTACCACGCGTTCGGTCAGTGCTCTCGTCGCATTGCAGGCCCAGGAACGGTGAGGAGTTGATGTGGTCCATCTGCGCATTCGTCAAGTACGTACTGAGGCAGTGAACCATCTGCTGGAAGCCGTACCTGCGCAGAGATGTAGGTCTTTCAGTTAGTCTTTATGGGGGAAAATATTTCATTACCACGAATTCTATACAGCAAGATTGTAACTAAAATGTCCTACCGTGTGAGATAAACACCGTAAGACTGTCTCGGGATGTCGGGCGTGTCCTGCTCCGCGAGATGCCGCATCAGCCTAGGGTACATGCTTATCGGCGCGTCGCACTTGCACAGAAACACAACCGACCGCAACAGTCGGACGGCGCGCCTGCCCTCGACGTCCGAGTTGATGAAGTTTGAAATCACTTGCTGCCCCTCGCGGATGCCTCTCGCAATCTTCAGCTGCCGGTCAACAGCCGCTTTGTGCGCGTCCGTGTGCTCGTGTACGCGAAACGCCTGCGTCTGCATGTCACGGCCTCCGTCATCACCCTGCCTCGCGTACCTCGTGTTCTCCTTCCCGTAGGCCATGCAGACACTGCACTTCACATAGAGAAACCCATCCTTGGTTTTTCCCAACACGAGCCAGGAGAACTGTCCCGACCACCTCGTATCGTACATGATGCTGGCCTCCAGGAACATCTGCTCTCGCAGCTGCGCCTTGGTGAGGGCGGGCGAGCCGGTGTCCGCGCGGATCGGGAACACATCTTCCTCTGGCGGTGCAGATGCAGGAGGTGGTGGATCAGCCGGAGTGTTCGAAGCAGAAAGTCTGCGGCCTCCGACGAGCAGGGTATGCTGCGCCCACTTCCCTGAACGCGCTCTCTTCGGTGTGGAGGTAGCCGACGGAGGACCAACGGACACACCAACGGTGCTTGGTGTGGGACTTGGCGCGGTCGGTTGGGGATCTTTGCTGCAAGAAGCAACAGCCGGGGGTATAGTGAAGGCGGCCTCCCGGGGAGACTCTTCAGGTGTGGCCGTGGGCGTGTCTTTAACTGCAGAATCATCTACGGTAGACCTAGGTGGATCCGGTGTTACTGGAGCAGCGGAACATCTAAGAAAATCAATCCCCGAGCGTGGCTCCGTGGCTTTCGGCGGTAACGGTGGCTCATCTGAGCCAGCCTGAGGCGTGTCCTCGTCAGCCTGCTGGCCTTCCATGGCGGGGAGAAGCTAGAGATGGGGAGAGAGAGAAACGGAGAAAAGAATTGAAAAAAGGGAACACAACAGCAGCACCAACAAGACCCTGGCTGTGGGAGGGGCGAAGCAAGAGATGGAGGGAGAAGGTGGGGTCAGCAAGAATCCACCGCGTCGCCACGAAATTGATGGCGCGGTGGTCGAAACAACGAGCCGTCATTGTATTCGGCCTTTCATGCAGGCCGAATAGATTGAACGACTGCTTCACTGCCAGCGACGACAGCCACTAACTGTCTCCCTCCAATGAGGGACACGTATTGTGATTTGCGCGGTGCGCGTGGCAGTATATATGATGCTTCTAGGTGCGCTGTCAAATTTGACAGCTGTGCTGTACATCGATGCTGTACAAAGGACAGTTGTGTTCTGTGTCGGTTCTTGTCACTAGTGCGCGTGAAACGAAGCCCCCACATGGTTAGGTGCGAAATCATAATTACCCACATGGGGGGGTATCGGAACGAAGCTTCTACGAAGCTTCGTTCAGATAACATCACTTTCAGGGTCCACAGGTCGTGTACTCTGTATTGACAGGGTCCATGAAAACACTACACTGAGAGTGTATTGAGAATTTCAGGCTCCGCTAAATCAATACTCTGAATGGATCAGGGACCAAAATGTGAAAAACCTGATTTCACAGGGATCACAAGGTGAGAAGCCTGAAATCGCCCTGAAATCAGGGTAATTACCCTGATAAAATCAGCCCTGTGTTCATGTATAACAGGCAGGAGGATGTACACCCAGTTTATGAAGAGCAGTAAAGCCCTTCTTATGAATGCCTTCATGGCCGTGATAAAATGTGAATCCATGATGCCTACCTACTGTTTGGCACAAACCAAGTTGGCGGAAATCAACAAAATGCGGTGAGCGTGGATCTAACACGCGGCCGTTAGATCTTCAGTCTGACGCTCTCCCAACTGAGCTATCCCTGCAAATTTTGAGAAGTAGGCTATTGATCACCATACCTCTCGCATGCTAAGCGAGCGCTCTACCATCTGAGCTACATCCCCGTTGTTTAACCTTCATATAAAAGCCACACCAAATATTGGTAATGAAAGAGACAATATCAGAACTGAATGCCTTAATTAAGCTAAAGGTGGACAATAGAGTTCAACAGACAATTCTCGTTATTAGGGACGAGATCTCAGATGCGCAATACACGCTCGACCGACGGCGTTCAGAGAGCCACGCGAGCGGTTCATGGCTGGGCGCATCTGGGCTCAGAACGTCAGAGGGATACGTGGGGCATCATCGAGCCAGTCGCATGCCACCATCTGTCGTCGTGGCCCTCTCAAATCTGGCCCAGGTGACCCAGGCTGACCATCATTTTTCGTTCGTTCGATCTGCCCGTTGTCACCCACGTGCAGCTTTTAGTGCTGAACTTGGAATCAATATTGGACAAGGAGGCTAAGTCGGGTAACGATTGTTTCTGAAAGTAGAACGTTTGCGGTTGCAATAATTGGTATAAAGTACCTTAACTATGCCAGTCTATAATTTTCCTCTGCCCGGAACTTCTGACTTCGTTTTTCCAACGAAGCTTCACCATCATCGATGTCACCATTCCTCCTCGACCATGGCTGCCAGATGCTACACGCGCTTCGCCTCGGCTGTACCGTTTTCCTTGACATTGTCGCTCCTGCCAGGAATTGATAGTCCTTCACTGTCAGGTTTAGTCCTTACTCTACGGCGTAGCATCTAGACTGTGCTGTGGATTGTGGGTGGAATTCCAGACTGCAGTGGCACTTAGAGCCAGACCCACACTTCTTGACTTCCCTTTCCGAGCATGTCCCAAGCCTTCCCTCATCTCTCATCAATTTGATCCCTTCACACTCGCCCTACTTCCCATTGCCTTGCGCACTTCGCGCTTATTGCCTCCACGTCAGTTACACGGCGTATTTCCGAAAGTTAGTTCAGAGCAGCGTCAACCTTCCTTTCATCCCATAATCATCATCAGTCAGCGATGGCGACCACAGCTGTTTCCGACCTTTCGCGGCGGGCCGCCCTTAGCACAGCCTTGAGAACTCAGTCCGGCTCTCGCCAGCATCTTCCGTCGTTCCCAGGTGCGAATTTCCCTGCCGCTATCCTCCTTTATCCCCTAGTCGGGTTGCCATTTCCATGCCCTTATCTCCTATTATTTCGCTGTTTTGTCGATCCCTCTTCTTCAACGTCGCCTTTTGACTCATGAATCCACATGTCGTCGCTCTTTGTTTCCGTAAAGGTAGCCTCATTAAAGATTGAACTATACCCCCCTCATGATCTCCGCCGTTCGCAGGTCCGCCTCACGCTGCGCATACCCTTCGCCGGCATCACGCTATCGTTAGCTTCCGTCGCTCGTCGCTCGCAGGAATCGCGCGAGTGACAATATCGAGATCCTACCCCAGCCGCACAGCAGCCTCGCGATCTGTCTCCAGGCGTTTCCCGCCCGCGATTCGCGCCTTCACAAATCAACCGGACGCGGCGCGACCCGGCAGCAAGGCATCCCGGATCGCGGCAACAGACGCGGCTCCCTCCCTCCTCGACACGTCCCGACGACAAGCCGCCGCTGCTGCACGTTCCCCTGCCGCCGTCGCTGCCGCCGCTTCTGCCGCTGCTTCTACTACAGCTGCCGCCGCCGCGGCGCTCGAGGACTCGCTATCGAGTCGCGGCATTCCCGAGGCGTATTCAACGGACGCGCAAATCCTGAGCGGCGAGGTGGAGGGGTTTGCGGGGATGAACGAGGAGGGCGAGTGGATTCTGCTGTTGCCGTCGGGTCGCAAGCGCCAGTACCCGCGAAAGCGCCGTTCGAAACCTCGAGTTCCCCTCGCCATTGATCCCGTTGACCGCGTTGACGCCGTTGACTCTGTTGACGCCCCTCGAAACGCCGCATCCAACGTCCGTCTGCCGTCAGATGTGTCGCAGATTGAAGAATCTACGCCGTTCGTGGTTAGCAGCGGCAGATCAAATCTGCTGCCTGACGTGAATCCCGAGCTTTCAGGCTCTCCCGGGGCGCCACGTGGCAGGCATCCGTCCCCTAAAGCCTTATCCGAAGCGGCATTGAGAGTGAGAAGGGAGAGGCAGAAGTTGCAGCAGCAGCGCCAGCAGACCGTCGAGGCGCTAGTAGATGGTTCTAACGAGGTGAAAGATATGACTACTGCTGGTGTGACTGAAGCGGACGATGTTTTCTTCTCTGCGCCCTCCTCCCCCTCCTCTCCCTCCTCCTCACCGCCTTCCCTTACCGTATCCCAGACCCCACTCTCCGACTTGCGCCCCGCTTCCGCTCCTGCGCCGGCTTCCGCTGCCGCGCCCGTTTTCTCCGCTCCGCGCACCCCGCTGCCCGAATTCGCGCCGTCACGAGCAGCCGACGCAGTCCAAGAGGCGGAAGGGGGAAGGGAGGGGGAGCAAGCGGTGGGAATTAGGCGGCAAACGTCCCAAAAGCGAGTAGTTAGGCTGAGCTTAGCGCGTCCACCATCCGCCATCAGGCGAGCGGCGGTAGAAACCACAGAAGTTCCAGACCAACAATTGGAGGCTAAGAAAGTAGGAAGGGGCGCGGAGGAGGCGCAGGCGGCGGAGACGCAGGGGGAGAGGGAGGGGGAGCGGCGCGGCGGAGTGGAGGTGGCAGGCGCGCTGAAGGCCGTGAGGCGGCACCTGAGTGGGGGCACGCGGGGCGGAATGACGACAGCTAGAGCCATGCTGGACGAGGTGAGTGGCGAGCAGGTGGAGCAGGTTGAAAGGCAGCAGGGAAAGGTGAAGAGGAAGGGAGAATGTGAGGAGTTTTTAATAGGCAGCGGAGAGAAGCTGCTGTGTGTGCGCTGCCATTAGACGTTTCCAGCAAGAAGGCGGGAAATCTTATTCTCCCTGTGTCCTCTCACACTCTCCCTGCTCTCCCTGTCCCCCTGTCCCGTCTCCTGCAGCTGCTATCTCAGCAACCTACGAACCCCCAGATCCAGGAGCACATGGCGCTGGCAGAGCGCAAAGCAGGCAACACAGCAGCCGCCAGGGCGTGGTACCGCCGCAGTGCGCAGGGCTATGAGGCGGCTCTGGCGGTCGGCACTGCCTCCCCGCACTCAGGGGATGCTTTTGACAACAACCACAGCGACGCAAGGCATTCAGACGCCAGGCACTCGGAAGAGAGAGGGCCTGCGGAGCTAATGAGTGAAGGAGCAGTAGAGGAGGCTGGGCACCTGAAGAATAATAACCTGGGGCGGTGCCTGCAGGCGTGGGCCGGGATGGAGGCGGAGGAGGGTGACATGGTTACCAGCAGACAGCTGTTTCAACGCTCAATAGTGATACTGACGCAGGGAGAACCAGGCCACCAGCAACTGCAGGAGCAGCAGGGCAGAACTAAACAGTCGGGGCAATCTCCCAAGGATACTGGAATCCTTGTGATTGGCCTGCACGCCTGGGCCATGGCTGAGAAACGTGAAGGGAATTTTCGAGCCGCCCGAAACCTGCTGGAGCAGGCAGAGAAGCTTCAGCCGGGCAGCCCGGTGGTTCTGCAGTCACGCGCTCTCCTGGAAGCTTCCGTGAAGAACCTGGGTGGAGCCCGGTGTTACTTTAAGAAGGCCACTGCTGCTGCCCCTCTTGACGCTGCTTGCTGGCAGGTGGGTAGTATGCTGATTGTATTCACACTTTAACTCAGGAAGGCTGTCCGCCGCTCGTTTGCTCTCTGCCCTCGCTGCTCTTTGCCCTCTTCCCACTCTTGATTCTTCATTCCTCGCTGCTCTAACAATCAGCATACCACCTTCTCACCTCCCACTCTGGTCTGCCACTCCTCACTCCTGTTCACTCCAGGCATTTGCGCTCCTGGAAGCAAGAGCCGGCCGAATCAAGTACATGAGAACCCTTTTCCGTTGGGCACTCTCAGTGAACCCGAAGTCCATTCCCACACTGCACGCATGGGCGTGCCAGGAGGCCCGCCTGGGCACACCCAAAAGCAGAGAGACAGCCAGGGGGCTGTTTCGGAAATGTTTGGAGGTGCAGCCTGGGTGTGTGCGGGCGCTGCAGGCGTGGGGTGTGATGGAGCATGCAGCAGGGGACGTTGATGCAGCGAGGGTGCTGTTTGATCTCTGCCTTGAGGCTGCTCCAAGCTCAGTCCCCACTCTCCAGGTATGCTCTTTCACTCTCACCTCACCCCGCATATATAAACCCTTCCCTTTTCTTCCGTGTTGGAATTCGCAGGGCCTGTCTTTTTGCATGTTTTGTGAGTGTCGTGTGAGGGTAGTGTGGTGCTGAGTTTTTCCATGCCCCATCTCCCTCCGCTTGCATATATCACCCCCTCACCCCCTTACAACACTCATGCCCCCCCCCATTCCCCCCGCTCCCTCTTCACCCTCGTGTCTCACAGGCATATGCATGCTTGGAGCGGCAGCAAGGAGACTTAGCCAAGGCCCGTTCCCTCCTATCACTAGCCCTCTCAGCCCAGCCAGGCAATGCAGCAGCACTGCAGCAAGCGGCAGAGGTGGAGGAGGAGCTGGGTAATGAAGCAGCAGCGCATGAGCTCTTTGTGCGTGCGAACCGGGCGGATAGGGTGGTGGCGAGGCGGCGACGGGGGATGTATGAGTCGGCTAAGGAGGGGAGGCAAGAGGAGCAGATTAGAGGGGCAGTGCCGTGGTGGGTGGTGGGGAAGATGAGGGAACGGCGGTCGAAGCGGCGAGATGGCGGGAGGTGATGCAGAGATACCAAGAGTGGTATGCGTACACTGGAAGTTGGTGCTCATGGCTTGTGTGCTCGGCATAGTGGAGTTAGTTTAGTTCCTATATGCAACTGAGGCAAGGCACGTGTCACAGTAGGCAGCTAGTGTACAGAGTTGACGTTGAGTGTTGTCTGTTGAAACACTTAGGTCAGGCCTTTCGAGTGATGAGTTTCATGTATTGCTGTTTGACAAATGATTGAGCTGAGCATTGTGTGAGTAAGCTTGTCTCTGGGTGGAGCAATTGAGCAGCAGCAAGGGATACTTGAGGAAGTAATTGTGACACAAACATGTTCCATAGGAAGTTCTGTTTAAGGTCAATTTACTTTCTTGCAAACACAAATAAGTAATTAATCAGCATTTGATGTTGAAAGGAAAACGATGGAAACTGGAGAGATAAAAACAGAGTACCGTCTAATCGGATAGATAGTGGGACATTGCATAACAGAGCCGCCAGTTTGTGTGGCAGCCAACTGCACTTCGAAATTATGCAACCAGGCGGCTCGCAAAACCGATTATCAGCACAATCCTGCAACATCGCTGCCAACCATATTTCACCACACCAAATTTCCCAAATCAACAGTTCAATCAGTGCACAAATTTTGCGAACCACATCTCACCGCACCAAAACCTCCAATTTCGCAACTGCAACTCTTGTTGCACCTGCCCCCATCCATCATCAACACCTCGTTTGACGTGAGGGCTGGACAAAGAATCACCTTGAGCATTCCGCATTCCACGGCGGAAGGACCGCTCAGCTGAGAAAACAACACTTTTCTGTCACGTGATTTTTTTCCCTCTCAGTCGATGGTACCCAGCCCCTTGCACGTATAAATTCTTTCACTAAATGCTGGAGCCATCAGAATCTTTCACTAAAATCCGACACGACCCTCCTTTGTAGTACCACTTCTAGTAATCGAACAGCCGCCACTAGCTGGCCACTTCTTCATATTTTTCAAGCGCTTCGAGTTTATTGACGCCATGGCTCGCTCCATTCTCTCCGTCGGCCTCGCGTTCTTCCTCGCTGCAGTTCTGGCTCTCTCCTGCGTCTCGTGCGCCCAAGGCGTCAGAGTGATTGCAAATGATGCGAACAAGCTCGTGGCTGGAATGCGCTCGGCAGATGACGGTACGATGACCGATTCGATTCGTGGTACCACTACGTACGGTTCCAGAGATTGCGTGAATGACCAGAGCCCCCCTCTCCTGTTCTCGTTCTTGGTATATCCGACAATTGCGACGGAAGTTTCTATAAAAAACTGAGTTTTTTTCATGCAGATTCGCTCCGGAAACCATGGTGGTACCATGTACATTCAGATCCGCTCACCTGCCTGTTGCCTCCTGCGGTGCCTTCCCATGAACAGGCACGCCATGCAGTCTGGTGTTTAAGCGGAAAGTGGAGGACTGCTACGCGCTCTCCCTCGTGAGGACGCAGAAGAGCATGGACAAGTGCAAGGAAGACCTGCAGGCGCAGATTGCGCAGTGCGGAGGCAAGCCAGTACGGGTAAGCATGGAGGGCTCAGAATTTACCCTAAGGCACTTTTGACCTGCCTCGGGAATAGAGCATGGGAAAGTGCAGGGACGACCTGCTGGCGCAGATTGAGCAGTGCGGAGGCAAGCCAGTACGGGTAAGACACTTTTGAGCCGCCTTACTACCAAAGATGGAGCAGTGCATGAGGCCGGGGGCGATGGGTAAGTCACGCGCGAGATGTGGCTTCCAGTGCAGCTAAACCATCTCACCCTGTGTACACATGCTGTAAGACTGCCTTTTCTCCTTCCCTTGTCCTTGTTTTTGCAGACCGAGTATCCTCTGGCAGGAGGAGCAAGCAAGCCTAGTAAGTCAGCAAGGCCAAGCGCCAAAAAATGATTTCTACTAGTGGACATGGGGGGGAAGAATATTGTTATGGGGTACCGGTATGCTTCTTGTTAAATATTTTCCTGTGGTGCTTTGGTGGTGTTTTCTTTTGGGTGTTCGTATCAAGGTGAATCTGCAAGAGTTGGCTTGTTTGTTGCTATTGGGAATGCATTGGGAATCTATGCTCAAATTTATTTTCGAGTTCGAAACATTTAGTTTACGCTTCGGAAGTATCGAGCACTAAAACAAAAAGAGAAGTATACTCACAGCGAAGCAACACCGAAACCAAAGCGGTTGATTAGGCGACAACAGCAGGAGGTTGAAGCGAAGGTCAAAGGTCAGCGACCTTTGACTTGACAAAGGCAGCGCAACAGCAAGGACAAATATCTGACTCATTATTGAGCAGTTACCCGAGTCGTCGATGTATCGAACCGTAACAGCAGTTACAGTTAAACCCTTTGTATTCCTTGTAATCATATACATATCCTTGTATCTCTTTGCTATAATCAATTCATCTTGTTCTCACATACTATTACAAGGTGGTTCACTCAATCCACTATTACGCTTCCGCTAAATACATCACTACTCTGAGAGTTTAGTCTTGAACGATCCTAAGGATTTTTTCAGCCCAACATGGTATCAGAGCCTACAAGACAAAACTCAACTTTGATCAACTTCTTGCAACATCAAAAGACATGGCAACACAGAAGGAAAGAAGCTAGTCTACTGGATCTCCCGGAACTATTCCTACTCCACCGCCAGCCTCTGGACTGCAGACAAAAGGAGGCACAACTCAAAGACCAGCTACCGAGTCAACTGAGACTCCTGCGAACCAAGCAATCGGCATCGACCCAAGTATGATGGAGAAATTTTTCTCGTTCATGTCGTTCTACGAGCAACATCAACAAGCGGCACCTGCGCAGTCAAACAACATCGACAACAACAACGGAGTTACTCCCATGAGTCTCGACGGCTCATCTTTTGCGCGCGGAAATCAACAGCCTACCTTCGCACCGTATAAACCTCAACGCAGCTCTGACAGCTTCATGCCGAATCAGCTCCCACCTGGACAAGAGATGAAGACATTGGATGCACTTCAGTTGCAATCACAATTCGCACACGTGCTGAAACTACAAACATCAACACCGTTTGACGGAAAGGACTTCTATACCTGGTCCTTCGAATTCGAGCTGATGATGGAAGGCGCTCAAATCCTTGGCTACTTCGATGGCTCCCTGCCATATCCAACGCACGGGACACAGTACGACAAGCAGCAGTACACATACCAGTCACTGATGGCGTATTCCATACTTCTGCGATACATAACGGCAAACGAGCAGCAAAACATCCGGTCGTATCGCGGATACGGAAACTCCGCCGAGCTCGCGTACAACCACTTGAAGAACCAGTATCAAGCAACCGACAACGTCAATCAAGGTCGTGTCATGGCGCAATTAACAACTGTTCAAATGCAACCCGGAGAAAAGGGAATGGCATATATCAGTCGCTGTCGCTGTCCTGCGTCTTAATATCTGAAGCGTTCGTCACTGTCGTCATCGCAGGTCTTGGTCCTCAGTGGCGCTCCACACGAGCCATCCTCCGAGCCCACGGAAGAATCTCTGAAGCAAAACTCTGCACCGAAATTCATGCCGAACAACAAGACATGGACCTGCATGAAGAACGACAAGGAAAAGAGGATCAGCACCGGAATTCGCCTTTCACACTCAGTGGCGCAACAACAACAACGACAACAACAACAACAACAACAACAACAACAACAACAACAACAACAACAACAACAACAACAACAACAACAACAACAACAACAACAACAACAACAACAACAACAACAACAACAACAACAACAACAACAACAACCGACATCAAGAGCACCAAGCACGAAGATACGTACCACCGTTCTGTCATCTCTGCCGAACGTCTGGACACTCTCGCATCTATTGCCCGAATCAGCAGGAATCGACACCGTCACCACGTCAGCTTCGACCTTCAAGTAGTCAGTGACCTCCATACAGCAACATCCTTCGAATCAGGCGCTGCCTTCATCGACAACGTCACAACCTGCACAAGGAACAAGAAACATCATAAGCTGCATGACAAAAACGGGCTCCTGCATCACTGGTTCACCACCGACCTACTCACCAGAAGAACTGTTTGACGAAAGTACGCCTCGTCGTGAATCGCTACAACCAAACCCGACATACGCGGCTATCGCACAGAGCGAACCGTCCGGTCAAGATACTTGGTTCTTGGACAGCTGCTGCGGACAACACATATTCTCGTCAAATCGCTTCGTTCAACGGGAACAACGCCTCAACCGGGAAGTCGCGATCACCGTCGCCAACAACCAAAACCTGCGCATACAACGACAAGCAATAGTTCAACTTCAGTCCCGCGAGACTAACGTCGTTTCACAGATGTCAAAGGTTTTGATTGCAGAAGGACTGGGCTACAACTTGCTAAGCGTTAGCCAGCTCATGGCAAAAGGGATTCAACTTGAAGCCGATAGCACCACTTAGGAGTTCAAGCTGTATCACGGGAAGGGAGGACTTAACATCGGGAAGGCAGTCCTGAAGAACAGCGTCTTTGCTCTCGACTTCGTCCCAGATCAAGGAACTGCTGACAGCGACGCGATCGTCAACTTCACCACTTGGTCGCACCCACCAGAACTCGACTCAGACTTCAGCCCCGGAGGTTTCTGGTACTCGCACACCGTACCTGAAGCAGAATCGGACAAGGGGCATACAACTACGTAATCACGTTCATCGACGCCGCCACCAGATACGTCTGGCACCTCAACCTTCCGAGTCGCGACATGGCCTTCGAAGCATTCGTCGCTTGGCTCCCCGTAGCGGAAATAGAATCAAGAGTGAAGCTGAAAAGCTTTCAGTCAAATGGAGGAGGAGCAAATCAGTCACAGCGGTTCAAGCAATACTTGGCGGAGAAAGGCATCAAGTGTGAGAATCTGAGAATGAATGATTAACAATGAACAAAACATGAAAGATATATGCAAGGCTAATCCTAACCATAGCACAACGGAATACACCTAGACTAGAACTAACATACCGATATAAATATGGTTTGACATCAAGCGACTCATTTCTCTTCCCTACGCTCATCAGCAACAAGGCATGGCAGAAAGAATGAACAGGACCATGCGTAAGCTGCTACGTGGCATACGACTACCCAACCATCAGTGGCCTGAGGAGATGGACCACGCTGTGCAGTTACACAACTTGCTTTCGTCATCCTCACTTCTGAACAACGCGTCACCGCATTTGCTATGCACAGGAAAATTGGGCAACACAAAAATGTTACGAGTTTTTGGCTGCATGGTACCGTACTGACCACACACTGCACGAGCTGGACGATTCTCACAACGCGCACAGTGGGGACTACACCTGGGCATTGAAAAACATTACAACGCGTGGAAAAATTTCGACATCCACTTGAAGGAAACAGTAGCAGCACGTGACGTGATTTTCTACGAACGACTCACTCTTCAAACGTACCTGGACAACTTGGCAGCAAAACGAGACCTCGCGGGTGGCTTCCGTGGCAACCGAGTGTGAGAATAACAAACGAGAATGAATGAACTAGCAAACACTTGGGTACAAGTACTAACCCTAATTGGGTTGTACCCCTTATGGGCTACCCCACAACAGCCTACACAAATGTATAAGCTATAATGTTCTGACACACCCCCATAGGCAAAGTGGGGGAGAACAAGTGGTCACAAGACCAGTCAAGAAAAGCAAAGCAAGCTCAGGGTTGATCACAAAGTCACCACACAGTCCGAACACAAGCAAAGGGCCACAAGGCCAGTTTACATACAGAGTTATATAAAGAGAGCAAACAATACAGTGATCATACCCTAGCAAGTGCAAGCATGCAGGTATACATAGAGATCACAGTACAAGCAGGGTCAAGCAGTAAGCAAGTGATGAAAACTGGGCACAAGGCCTAACACAGTAGCAAAGCACTAATGATCACCAGGTGGAAGTGCCTTGGTGAAGACATCAGCAGTGTTGGCCCGAGTGGCCACGTACGCAAGACGAAGCTGGCCATGCTGCTGCAACTCTCGAGCAAAGAAGTATCGCAGAGCGATGTGCTTCGTTCTGTGCTCCAGTCTGTGCTCCTGACACAAGGCCATCATAGCCTTGTTGTCTACGTACAGAACTGGAGGCGAACGAGGCTGCTCTCCCAAGTCGGTCGGCAAGTAGGTGAGCCAGCGTAGCTCCTGAGCAACCATGGCTCTGGCGTAGATCTCACCCTCACAACTGGAGCTGAGAACTGAAGACGAGCGGGTAGACTGCCAAGAAACCGAGCCGGACCCAAGGCTGAAGGTGTAACCCTGTGACGACCGCTGCGTAGCTGAGTCGTCAACCCAGGAGGCGTCTGTGTGACCAGTGAAGACAACTGGACCCCGTCCTCCAAGCACAAGCCCTATGCCCGACATACTGCACAGGTAACGCAGTACCCTCTTCGCATCATCCTAGTGCACCTTTCGGTGCCTACCGGGAGCCACGTAGCGAGCCAGAAGGCTGAGAGGGTACGCGAGGTCAGGTCGTGTGCAAGTCATCAGGTACATGAGGCAACCCACAAGCTCTGGGCACGGACCACTCGGCTCTACGGACTCGTCCGAAGGTGGAGCTGAGAGCGAGTGGCTGGTAGACAGAGGAGTGAGCTGTGGCGAGGAGTACTGGAAGCCGAAGCGCTGAAGGAACTGGTGCACCATGTGTGACTAAGTCAGTGTGATGGTGCGCCGTGCTCTGTCCCGAGTGATCTGCAGGCCAAGATAGCTGTGCAGTTCACCAAGGTCAGTGCTGGTATGTCTCTTCTGCAGCTCGGACTTCACATGGGTCAGTGCCTCAGTGTCAGCCGTGGCAAAGACGAGGTCGTCGACGTACACTAGGACGTAGAACTGCGGCAGCGAGGTGTCGGTGCGTAGAAACAGCGACGGGTCTGCTGTAGAAGGAGCAAACCCAGTGTGT